GTGAAAGTACTGGGCAATCGTCATGTTGCGTTACGCCATCGATAGCAGCTCGTTCTCGAGAAGTTGCAGTCTTGTATCATTCTTCTTTGAAAAGAGTGTAACAAAAGTGTCCCATGCTTCCTTTGGCGTTTTGGCATCCCGAATGTGCTCCAACATTTCTTCTTCAATTGTGGTCTTTAAAGCAAACATCGCTTTGCCTGCTTTAATTTTCCACTTTCGCAAGATGCCATTGGCATCTTCTGCCACCGGTTGTGTAACCTCACCACCACCGACAACCTCCCAAAGGTCCTGACCTTGTAAGTAAGACTCCATACATGTTGCCCACGTATTGTAGTTTTTGTTGTTGAGCTTCTTGATTCCTCCAACTACTTGAAGGTCACCCATTGTGCCGGCAAGACTTCGACTATATCGATCAAGCTTGACTAACAAACTTGCAGAGTACCAAACTTCTCACATCTCAAGATAGCTCCAACAAGAACGATCCCTGACCGTCCCGCTCTGATGCCAATTGTTGAGAAAAATTTAAAATAAACAACTCTAAATTTTATATGTCAAAGAAGAAATTCACTCGAAAATTTGAGACACAACACAAGACTTTATTAAACTGAAAATATTACAAAGAAAACTCTCAACTCTCACAAACACTCAACACACTATAAGACTTGTAGTCTTATTTTCTTCTTCACTTCTCGATTTCTTGGTTGCTTGCTTGCTTACAACACACACACACACACACCTATTTATAGGCATGTTTGCCGACTTCACTAGTATTAACCATAGTCATTAGTGATGACATGGTTACTTAGTAATGAAGAATATAGTTAGTTGAAATGTGTTGGTAGGTTGTCATAAGGATAAGATTGGTTAGTATAGTTAGAAGGGTATTATTGTAATTAGGTTATATGGCTATATAAGGGATTGTATAGCTATCATTTCCTTAAGTGCTTTTGTATACATATTCTCCATTTTAATCAATACAATCTTTCTTATTTTTCTCTCTATCATCTTCATCTTCCTTTGTAGCAATTCTTCATCTTTTACAATGTAGTTAATATGGTATCAGAGCCACCAGGCTCACGCCTTTGATTCTGGTGGTTCCATTTTTAATTAGATTTCGTCATTTTCATCGTTTTTATTTTCATTAGGTTTTCTCTTCAAATTTTCTTGAAATTTCCGTCAAGTTCTTCAGTGCTTCCGCTCCGCTAATCGACGAGAAGGTGTGAATCAACGAGATCACTGGGTGAATCAACGAGATCACTCGCTCTCTGCTCCAATCGCTCCCTGCTCCAAACCGATGTTCAATTCAAGCTCGTCCGCACAATTTTCAAACACCGTAGCCTCAACGTCATGGTCAGCTTCTGTGGGCTTCAAATTCTCGACATTTGACGAATCTGACGAACTGGGTTTTACCAAAACCTGCAAATTGCTCAAACCCAGATCACAATTCAGAGCGATCATATCGTCAACCCGGTCATCGACCCGATTCTCTTTCTTCTTGCTGTTGTTCTTCTGCTTTTTCAACGGTTTCTTTAAGTGATCCCGGTTCTTGCCGTTGTTGTGTTCTTAGACGGCGAAGCGAGCGCGGTCTTCAACTTGAGCGTTGTTCTGGGTGCTGCGGGATTCTTGGATTCCACCGAGTGTGGTCATTAGAAGTCGCCATTGAAGACAACAAAGCTGAAATCTTGAAGAATGAAAGTTGGGTTGATGGCTGAGAACAGAGTGGTGAGAAAGAAGATTAGGAGAAATGAGTGATGGTTCAGCGCCATTGGAGAAGCAGAGAAAAGCTTGAGGAAAAAAAAAGAAAGATCAGAGCTTTCTTGATTTTTCTGGTTTAGATATCGGTTGGTCAGCACTCAACTAAATATGAAGACAATAACGAACTTTGGCGGCGAGTAGGTCGTCGCTGACGATAAGGATTTGGTCGGAGCCGGAGTTTTTTTTTTTGGTGCTGTTCTGCTAGTCAAGGGCTCTTATCTCGCCCTCTCTACTGTGTCTCGGACCAGGGATCTATACAAACGGATTGACAAGCTCGTCGAGTACTCCGCCAACAACGGCCCGGAGTTCGTAGTCATGATGCGGGAGAAGAATTCATCCCCATCTTTCTTGCTTCGCTCTGATGGCAGACCGGCCTTCACGAATGGGCACAGTGGCGTCCCCATCTTCTTCTTCTTTCTATCGACTGTTCGAATTTTGTTGCTTCCCTTGCGATTTTGCTAAACTTTATCCAGCTCCAGGATAAGCCGACGTTTGAGTTCTGTTCGGAATTTCTCTTATGTGTTGCTGATTAAACAGTGGGATCTTGGACTTTGTCAGGTTGTTTCTTGTATCTGTCATCTTCTTTATGCATATATGGTGTTTGTGAAAATGTCTGAATGAAACTAAATGCCGCAAGGAGATTGATGATCTGGAAATTTGGTTCTTTCCGCTGTTATCGTCTTCAAGGGTTGTTGCAGAGGTGCGAAATCAGAGTGTTGGATTCTTCTAGGCTTTAATTCGAAGATTATAGTCAATTTTTTGATTTCTGGGTTGCTAAACTCTCAAGATGTTGAAGTGGGATATTTCTGATTGATCTGGGATATGTGTTGATTTGGGTGTTTGTGTTCATCTGCATATATTGTATTGGATATGGTGATGTGTTGAAATACGAAGTTTTTTAGTCAAGAAAATGTCAATCTTTACAAGACAATGTTATTCTTTCTGCATCAAACATCGTGTGGGAGTTTCTACGATTCTGATGATTTGGTGATGACTTTCGCTGGTTTGGGTGCTGCTTGAAGATTGCGTGTTTGGTGATCTGAAACGGCGCTGTATGGTTGTTTGGAGATTTGGTGGTGCAATTTTGGTAAATCAGGTGAATTCGTTTACTGGTTTTGTTTGTTGCTTATTTCTTGAAGCTGTGGTCTTTGATGTACTTTCAAGGTTTAATTGAAGTGAAGCTGTGGTCTTGATGTGTTGATCTCTGCAAGTATTAGTTTTTCTTGTCAATTTAAAGCAGAAAGTGTCATTCTTTCTATGAATCTTGGAGTTTCATTCTCCTAAGTTGCAGTATGATTTGGAGTTTCATTCATCTTTTACAATGTAGTTAATAACTAGCACACCAACATATGGCTTTTCATAATAGCCACATATTGTACAAGCTGCTAGAACTTTCATGATTATACACACACACCCACCAACTTGATAATGCTAGAATTATCTAGCATATTGTTATGCTTGCATGATGCACCGACTTTGGTGCTTGACTTTTCTGGATTTGTGTAGAATGGGCTGGGGTTGGACTCTTTTAACAGGAACATAATGGCAGAAAACACAAGGAGGTGAAAATGGAGAACAAAATTATGTTCTCAAGTTTCACTTCGACAAATGTGGATCTCTGCTTTTCGTTGTCTTCTCAAACATCATTTCGTACTGCTGAGAGTTTTTAATTAGTCGGATTGATGTGGAACCACATTGAACAAGTTCGATGTTGGTTTTCGCCTTACCACGTGAACTTGGTCTGTTTTTCTTGCGAGGTCGAGGACAAGACTCATGATTCTCCACGATTCTCCACGTGAACTTGGTCTGTTTTTCTTGCGAGTAGAGATTTCTCCCTTGTTTTTCTTGGGCAGGGTGTATGATTCTCCACGATTTCAACAGAACCAACATCCAAATCATCACCAGACTCATGATTGGAAATATCATGGGAATCATCGCCGGATTTTTCATCTTCATCAGTTTTTTCCGCCGTATTTTGTAGGGGATATTCAATCTCTGTGCAGCTTCTCTCTAATATCAGAACCCTGAATTTTGAATTCCTTTCATACCCTAAAACCAGCAAGTGACCATAATCCAGAGAGTAAAAACTAGAGAAGTCCTGCCAACCATTCTCAAACCAGACCTCACCATCCCATTTTCGAAGTTCTATTTTCCATTCTAAGGCACTTGGAACCTTGAAAAATACTGGAGTTGACATATTGTCTCCATATTTCGTGACAAATTTGGGTGGAATTTTCTGCACAACAGCGAAAGTTTCAGTATTTGGCCTTTTAGTATAAAACACTCATCTTTTTCGGGCAAGAAATTAATCAACTCATCAGTACTATCAAAGCCTAACAACAGTAGAGATTAATCACCTCAATATGATCTAGGCCTAACTACAATAGAAAACATGAGAGAGAGAGAGAGAGAGGCTTACAATTTTCTTGTCTCTGGAAGTGTCATTGAGAATGATCTTGAAGAATGAGGAACGGCAGGGGGAAATGTTGGGCGGTCATCGATTTCTTCGGGTAGAAAAGCCATAGGTGCTCCAAAGCTTATGAGCAAAATGCAGGATCTACTAGATGGAATCTGATGGCTTAGTACCAAGGAAAAGGTATACAAGAGGAGGTCTGCAATTATGTAATTGGTAGTTGAAAGTAAAAGATTTATTCAAAGAGGCCAGCAGCTCAACGTCATTTTCTTGATGGAATCAGTATGCTTGGTTTTTCTTTTGCAAATTATGGAAGGAGTGTATGCAGTCTGGTTTCCTTAATCTGAAATGCGTACTAAAGTCACATTATGCAGAAATGGAAATCTCAGAATAAAGAAAAGATAAAAATGAAGGACCGCAGTGCTGGACAGGTACAAGTTTATTTCCATCAAGCATGTTGCGCATGCACGCTCGTAACATTATTTTTCTTCTGTGGTGGAATATTTCCACTAGCATTAGTATTTTTCTTTCATTCTCATAAACCTCATTAACAAAAAAGATATTACAACTTCCAAAGTTAATTATTTTGAAAAAGGCCTTTTTTTTTCAAAATTAAACAACGATGTATCATGGAAAAAGCCTAATAGGTTGGGACATAGATGAACTGAACATGGTGTATTTAAGTAAAAAGTACATTGTCCAAATTCGTAATCTCAACCTTAAAATGTATCCATATACAAAATAAATATTACCCGAAGAAAACAACAATTCAAACCCTTGCAGCTCAACACATTTTGTCACCACGCAAGCGACTCTACACATCGACCAACTATCACGCAAACACCAGAATTGCATTTGACACTAACAAAGCACCAAAGTGACACTACAATATTAATTGTAAACACGTGATGTTATTTAGATACACAAAACTGACATATTTGCTGATAGACTCTCTAATACATGCAAGAGTGTCCAAATAGTTTTATGCTAGTTTTACGAATACTAAACAGCAGCAATGCATATTTCATTTTGTTAGTTTGATATAGCTAATAATTACATGAAAGGTAAATTACGTGAACAATTTTTATGAACATAAGGAGAATTCAAAAACCACAAAAAATAAAAAATCAGTACATCACGCAATTAAAGAAAGGAGTCTGAAAATGTCCTTGGCTAAGTTAAAAAACAAAAAGCCATAAAAACCAGTGGTACAAGGACATTTCACCGAATTGTCAAAGTTAGATATAGTGAAACTTGTGACTTGTGAGGGTGTCTTCAGAACGAATTCAAGTTAGAATTTTGTCCCAGGATCCTAAAACCTCAGGACCAGCACTAGCTTTTGGACTCCAACTTGTTCTCCTTTTCAGTTTTTCTTGTGGGACTGCGGTGCTATTGGAGATCTCCCCTCCGATTTTGGGCAGGGTGGAAAATCACTTTCTTCTATCTCAAGCACTGTTTTTTCCCCCATCATCATGGACTCGAAAAAGGACGACATCAAACAAAGCTTTAGTGTTGTTGGTATTCAACACAAAAGCGCACACATCATCAAGTACCAAATTATTGTCACGCACAAATTCCAACCAACCTCTACAGAAAGTGAAATTGGATTTCTTTTATCGTAATTCATATCAACATGCCAAGTTCTCCCATCCGAAGCTCGAAGGGTAACCTTACTAGAATCCCTCACAAGATGTAGATTGCGATACTCAGAGGGCAACCACTAAAGAAAAATAAAAACAAAAACAAGAAAAAAAGAGTAAGGAAATCTACTGATACAAGTAAACATACTTTGTGATGGTCTTGAATGGCTTACCAAGAATCGTCGAAGATAAGTTGGCTTCATGGCAACATGGAAAGAAGAAGGGTTTTGAGATTTGAAGACCTCAGCTCTATCAAGAGCTGTAGCTTTTCCATTCTTAGTCAATGGATTCATCCTCCCAACATACCCAGGTCTTTGTTTCTTGAATCTTCGAGTATTAGATTTGCCTTCTCCACGTTTATTAGCGGGAAAATTAGCTTTTCCTGTTAAAGATTGCAATATATAGAACATTACAAGCAAACCCTTAATGGCAGAAAACAAAATAACATGTATTAAAAATAGAAACACATGTTTGGCAATTTTTCATTTCTTTTCAACTTTTCCAATGACTTCTCGAACGTCATTTGACGAAAGTTGAATGATCAAACTATGATATGGAACCACATTATGTGTAATAGTGTAAGGTGATGTTGAGTTAGGCTTTACCACTTGAACTTGTTCTGTTTTTCTTGTGAGGCCTAGTACAAGGAAATGTAGATTTCCCCCTATGGGTTGAATAATCGTCTAAATCATCATCTTGATCAGCTGATTCCATCTGGGGCATTGCTTGTGGATAGTCAATCTCTGTGCAACTTCTATCAAATATGAACACGTTGAATTTGGAATTCCCTTCATATTGAAATACTAGCCAGTGACCACAGCGTAGAGAGTAAAACTCAGAGAAGTCTGGCCAACCATTGTCAAACCAAGCCTTACCATCCCATCTTCTGAGTTCTACCGGCCATTCTGAACCATTTGGAAGCTTAAGAAGTACTGGGTTTGAAAGCTTATCTCCATATTTCTTCACAAATTTCTTTGGAATACTCTTTGCACAACAGAGATCGTGTTAACTAACTGGTGATAAATTTAAAAAGATGAATTATCGGCTATTTTTGTAGCTAAAAAATGAATCATCTCAAACAATATTGTGGCTAACAATAGTATTTAATAGCATAGCGACGGCAAGAAACATCTCTCACAAGCATAGCGACGGAGACCCATTTCTGAGAGAGAGAGAGAGGTGCTTACTAGTTTTCTGTCGCTAGAAGTGTCCTCTAGGATGGCTTTAAAAAAATGGGAAGGCCAGTTATCAGTTTTCCCGGGTACAGTCTTTTTCAAAGCTTTGCCACCAGGTTCTTGGAAGAAAGCTGCATACTGGCTGAGTTAATGTATATGGTCGTGAATAAATAGAGGGATAAAAAAAAAGGTTTAATAACTCAATTTTTTTCCATTCTAAATGTTACTTTAAGGTAATACTGCAAAACTATATGTTTAAACCACATTTTATAAATCGTATGATGTGATTGTTAATAATTAAATTACGAGTCTTTTAAAGATAACGGCTTATGACAAATGATTTTTAGAATATAACCGGGAAGGTTTTCAATGTCTAAAAAAGATCCTTCATTTTAATACACCATGACATGTCACTAATAATAAACCACATGTTTTACTACTATTTACAAGAATGTCATCCTTATTGTCTGCAATGTAACCTCTACCATCAAAATTTGACAAATGCAACAGTTACATCATTATCACTCATAAAAGTAACATTCATCTTCATTGTCTAAAAAATGTCATCTTTATTGTCTATAACTACCTACTTTTTGTTTTTTTTGTTTTGTTTTTTGTTTTTATTTATATTTATTCAAATTTTATATTGTGTGGAGAATGCACTAATTTATGTCTGATAGTTTCTGTACGGTCAATTAAGTACGTTATATAGTTTAGGTCTGATAGATTTGATATGGTCAATTTGGTATGATTTGTATTTTTTATGTTTTAGTTCACCTGGTTCGATAATTTAGGTATGATAGATTAGGTCCGATAAATTAGGTACGTTATATAGTTTAGGTCCGATCAATTCGGTACAGTCAATTAGGTTGTGATTCACATTCCATTTTTCCTACATACAAAATTGTTCTCTTCATTTATCTTTGGATTCATTATTAATTTATTGAATCCGAAACTATAAAAATAAAAAAGAATGCATTGAGAATATAGGTACACTATATTGTTCTACATACAAAATTGTTCATCATTTGGGTACTGTCAATTAGGTCCTAAGTGTAGGTTCGATCAATTCGGTACGATGAATTAGGTGTGATTTCACATTCCATGTTCTCTATTTTTTTTTTTTGTCATTTATCTCTGGATTCACCTTCAATTTGGCGTCTAAAAGCCCATTTTTTCTTCTTTTTTCAGAATACAACGAGAATTTGGTTTCTAAGTTTTCTGCCTTTTTTTTGTTTGATCATGGTTTTTGAGTTTTATGGGTTCTTCGATTGGAATAACACATGGCGGTTTATGGTAATGTTATTGTTATAACGAACATGTTATTTATGGATCTAGTTAATTAAGCATTCTTGAAAAATTAATTATATATTTGTTTCTCTAATTGGTTTTAAGAGAGTAATAAGGGTAATAGGGAAACTAAAAGTGCATTTTGTTTTTGTTTTTTAAAATGATTAAATGTGACATGTTTGACTATTTTTAGTTTTTTTATCTTACATACAATATTATTGAAAAAACAATCTTATATAGAGATTAAAACGAAGTTTTCTATTAAATTATTAAGTGTTGATTAACGAGTTTATTTATTATTGGTAACGCAATATCACATAATTACAAATGTGGTCTAAAACATTGGTCTTCTTAGCATTACTCTTCACTTTATATACACACTATTCATTGTATTGAAAAACCATTCATCCCTTTGTAGAACTCGATGTGCACTTCAAAAATGTCAAATTCAATTATGATAATGCGATGTTTATTGAAAAAAAAGGGTTGGAAAGTGTAGCATTATTAGAATATCAAAAGTCCAATTAAAGTATTGTATTTATTTAGGAATGTGTTATCCACACACATTTTTTTACTTCTCACACACCCTCTTAATTTGTGACTATCAGATCGAATGAATTAAAGAAGATCAAATGACATAAATTAACAAGGGATGTGTGAGAAGTCCACACTCCATATATATAATGGGTAGTGCTAGAGAGATTAAATTTGTAGACAAAATTTGCAAACTAAATAATGTGTCATTAATAAAAATGAGCACGTTTATCAACACTTCAGTTATAATTCAACCATCATAGTCACAACTCAATTTGTATGCCAAGGAAGGCCTCTGCTCTGTTTCATAATCATGCATAAGAAATCTTCGCATGTAATAAGTTAGGGTAAATTACATAGTAGCCCCTTAGGTTTTGAAGTCTATTACAACCCCATACAACATCTTTAAAACATTTCACTTTTATACTTTAAGTACTATTTTATTTCAATATAATACATCCGTTAGATTTTCCATCCATTAATCTATTAAATGCTGACGTGGCTACCACATTTGTGCCACGTGGTTGCCAAATGTGTGCCACGTGGCAAAAAAAAATTTTTATTTAAAAAAAAAACCTAAATCTTCTAAATAAATTATAAAACTAATAAAAAATAAAAAAACAAAAAACCAAAGCCCACTTCGTCTTCCCTCCCTCCCCAAAACCCAACCTGCAACCTGCAACCCAGAAGAAGAGGAGGAGGAAAAAAAAGAAAAAAAAAAAATCATCTTCATCTTCCCCATCCCACCCCTGCAATCATCTTCCTCATCCCCATCCCCAGCCGCATTACTTCTTCTCCCTCCCTTCATCTAAAAGCCTACAAAACCCTAATTTTCCTCCTAAATCGACTGCTCTACTCAGAAGACGACTCCCGCCGCCATGGCCGTTGTCAATAGATTCGACTGCACTAGCTACTGTGGCTGCAGAGGCTCCAGATCCACCTTTGAAATGCCTCTCAAGCAAATATCTGATAAAACCAAAAATCCAATTTCAATAAAAGAAAATAAATTTTGGATTGTTGTAATTTTCCAAGAAAATTCAAACAAATTTCCAAAAATAATTACATAAATTTTCAAAAATCAATAAAAAGAACAAAGGGTTTTTGTAATTTTCCAAAAAGGCAGATCTTTCATACCTTGATTTGGAGAAGACAACTGCTAGGGGGGGCGTTTCTAATGAATTTGTCGTGCCTCATCGATGCAAGCAAGAAAGTGTGGTTATAGGAAGAGTCGAAAACGAGGGAATGGGCAAGCTGAAAGAGGGCGAGTCATGTTGCCCAGAAACCTAGTGAAGTGTACCGGGTCTTCGACATCCTCCTTCTTTTCTTCGACTTCTTCTTCCTCTTCGACTTCTTCTTCTTCCTCTTCGACTACTTCTTGTGCTGGTTTGATTTGGGGTTTGGATATGACATGTTGTTGCTTTTTGGAGGGTTTGGTGGAGCTGAGCTTTCTCTTTTTCGCCATTATAGGAGGGGAGCAAGGCGTCGTGGATAAAGGGAATATGTGGGGTCGTGGGGGTGGGGTGGGATGGGGGATTTGGGTTGCAGGGAAGGGGTGGGTTTTTTAGATGGGAGGGAGGTGAAGAGAGTGAAGGAGGGTGGGGGGAATGAGATTCTGGGTTGGAAAATGTAAACGGGGTTGCGGGTTCAGCTTTTTTTTTTTTTTTTTTTTTATTTTTTTTTAAATTTAGAAGATTAAGGTTTTTTTTTTTTTAAAAAATATTTTTTTTGCCACGGGACACACATTTGGTAGCCACGTGACATAAATGTGGTAGCCACGTCAGCACTTAACACATCAATGGATGGAAAATGTAACGGATGTATTATTTTGAAATAAAATAATACGTGAGGTATGAAAGTGAAATGTTTTAAAAATGTTGTATGAGGTTGTAATAGACCTCAAACCTGAGGGGCTACTATGTAATTTACCCAATAAGTTATTGAGGAATACTTAAGCTTAGAAGGCGGTTCACGTAAAAACGATCAGTTTAATAATAAATAAACCACAAAGAAACGACTGCTTCATCATTCACTTAAAAGAATGATTGTTCAATTGGTTAGTTGACTGAGATAAACAAACAAAACCAAATTTACCAGATTATTCCTAAAAGAGACAATTGGGGAGATGGAAGGGGGGATGACGGATCTCAGGGTTGGGTCAGTTGGGTTTTCTTGTTTTTATTTTTGGTTATGTTTAATTTTTTTTCTTAATTTTTTTTTAAAAACATTTATTTTTAAAGTTAACATTGGTTAGTTAGTGGAACACAAGGCAAGCTACTAGGAGGAGAGCAGACAGCGAGATTGATAGTGGTAAGGAAAAACTGTTCCTAAACATCTGATATTTTTTGTTCAAAAGGAAATCATTTCAGAAATTTGTCCCAGGCTACAAGATTTGAACAGAATCACCAGCTGCATCAACATTTTCTTCCATCTCAGCTGGCACTATTTTCTCCCTGTCAATATTGGTACGCTTTGCAGCTTGTCCAGAGCGGAAAAAGACAACGTCAAATAAAGGTTTAGGGCTGTTGTTGGTCGACACAAAGACACACACATCACCGCTTTCCAAATTATTGTCACGCACAACTTCCATCCAACCACGCCCGAATTTGGCCTTCTTTCCTTCTGAAAAATAATTCAAATCAACGGGCCAAGTTCCCACATTTGAAACTTGAAGGATGACTTCACAGGACTTTTTGATATGCTGTAGCTTGTGAAAATCAGACGGCAAAAACTGAAAAGAACACACAAAGAAGAAAACAACGCAGAAAGGAGAAAGTAAGAAAATCTTTGGAAGAAACATTGATGATTCTTCTACTGATATAAGTAAACGAAATCTTAATGGCTCAACATGGACGTTCGTTGAATGCTTACTAAGAAATAAGAGCCGATGTAACTAGGACTCATGGAAACAACAAAAGAAGTAGGGTTTTGAGATTTGAAAAGAACACTATTAATGATATTATTTACTGATACATGAATACTCTGAAGGGCTATACTGCCTCCACTTTCAGTTGGAACATCATATTTCCATGTAAAAAAAGTAAAATATTACAAACAAGAGAATAAAAGAACACAATATGGTTATGTAGAAACATATATGTTCTTTCGTTTTCACTTGTATCTTAGATTTTAGACTGCTTTACCGCTTGTAGTTGTTCTACTTTTCTTCTGACGCTGAGGACATGGTAATGCAGATTTCTCACTTGTTTTTCTTTGGTGGGGTGGAAATTTGTCAAATATTACAACAGAATTATCATAAGAATCGTCACTGGATCCATTACTGGAATTGTTATCAGAATCCTCACTAAACTCATCACTAGAGTCATCAGTAGAATCATCATCCAAGATTTGAACAGAATCACCATCTGCTTGATCAGATTCTTCCATCTTAGGCACTGTTTTTCCCTCATCAATGCTACAACTCGCAGCTTCTTTAGAGCGGAAAATGAAAACATCAAATAAGGGTTTTAAGTTGCTAGTTGACACAAAAACACACACATCACCAAGTTCCAAATTATTGTCACAAACAATGTCCATCCAACCACGCCTGAATGTGGCCTTTCCTTCTTCATATCTCAAATCAACAGTCCAAGTTCTCCCATCCGAAACTTGAAGAATGACCTCACAGGATTCCTTAATAGGACGTAGCTTGCAAAATTTAGATGGCAACCACTGGAAGGAACACAAAAATTACAAAGCATAACATGAATGAGAAAGTACAAAAAGGAATGAAGATGGAGAATATTAATGATATTATTTACTGATACATGAATACAAAATTTTATAAAGTTTACCAGAAGCCCAGAGTTGATATAACTGAGCCTCATGACAACAATGAAAGAAGGGTTTTGTGATTTGAAAGCAATAGCTCTCCGAAGAGCTACAACCTCTCCACTTGGAGTGCTAGACGTGACTCCATATTTTTCAGTTGGAAAATCACACTTTCCTGTAAAACAATTTACAGTAGGATATTACAGATTAGCTGAAAACACAATAGGTAATACAAATAGAAGCATACATGTCTACATGTCATTTTAGTTTCACTTCCGGTGAGATTTTATAATGCTTACCACTCGAACTTGTTATCCTTTTCTTGTGAGGCTGAGGATATGGCAATGTAGATTTCTCCCTTGTTTTTCTTGGGCAAGGTAAAAATTTATCTAAGATCATAGCAGAATTATCATCAGAACCATCACCGGACTTGTAACTCGAATCATCACCATAATCGTCACTAGAATCATTTGCAGAATTGTTACGAGATTCATCATGAGAAGTTAGTTCCATCTTTGGCATTGTTAATGGATATTCAATCTCCGTGCAACTTTTATCAAATATGCACACATTGAATTTGGAATTCCCCTCATATCGAAAAACCAGCCAGTGACCGCAGTCTAGAGAGTAAAATTTGGAAAACTCTGGCCAACCATTGTCAAACCAAACCTCACCATCCCATCTTCTAAGTTCTACTATCCATTCTGAACCACTTGGAAGCTTAAGACATACTGGATTTGATATTCCTTCACCATATTTCATCACAAATTTCTTTGGAATTCTCTGCATAGCAGAAAACATCCCAAGTAACTGATCAAAAAATTGTGAAAAAAATATCTTCGTTTTTGTTGCTGATAAACAAACATAATCGTAATCATAAAATAACTGCAGCGGACGTTTTTCACACGCATAAGAAACGGATAATACTTTCTCACTTGGTGTAGCCACACATATGTATGGATGACGAGAGAGAGAGAGAGAGAGAGAGAGAGAGAGACTCTTACAAATTTTCTGTCTTTGGAAGTGTCCTCGAGAATGATTTTGAAAAAATGGGGAGTCGTCGGAGAAAATATTGGCCGGTTAATATTTTCCGGGGGAACGGAAGCCATAGACGTTGAATCAAAGGTCTATCAAAACAGCACTACCAGTTTGTAGACGGAGAGCCCTATTCACTAGGTTGTATCGATCTGAGGGTGGGGTGTTGGAGTACATAATTTTACCCCAAAAAAGTCCAATTAATTCGGTTAATTAAACGAGTCAAATTACTTGCCTTTAATTCGGTTGAATGCGTACTATAAACGCGGCATCCCAAAAAGAGAAGAAAGAGTCTTTAAGGAATGTTTGGCACCTCATATTTTTTGGAAAATTTTATTTGAATTCATATAACTTCTTTTTACATCCAACATAAACTTCAAATGTGAATTATCTTTTCTATCTTATTGCATAATTACCATCAAGTACAAGATAAAATTAACAATCAAATTAAAATATATCAATAAACCCACCTAATAATTAAACTCCACCATCACACAATCTTTATCTTACGTTCATTCTAACTAAAACCTTAAGATGCTTTCATAGAGAAAAGCAAATTCTTTTTAACTGATAGATGGTGATTTTGAAGTTCTAAATCCCTCTAACTAAGGTATGAATCGATTTATACAAAAAAAAAAAAAATAATCATTTGATTTCATATTTTTTTTTAGAATTTAGGAACAAAATCAGCACATTTTCCATGATGCTTGCATATAAGAGATTTTTTTTTTTTTCTCCTCGGTAAATGCCTCAACGTCTGCAGTATAACGCTCTACATGAAGTTGGTGCCTGCAGCAGGGACTTCGTTCATGTGCTACGAAGCATGCAAGAGGATACTGGAAGAAGAAACAAAGAAAGAGTGGAATAGTTTCATGAGAAAAAAATTCTATTGGATAACGAAACTAGGAACAAATTTGAATCTTTTGGTAGCAGATATAATTGTATTCTACAACATTTTATAAAAGAAATTATATGACAGCTAAGCAAATGTCACTAGAGAGACAAATCTTGAATGAGTTGTAGAACACTTGTTTTTATATTCCAAATGGGTGTAAGGACAAATTTATATATCGAATTGAGTTTGTGAAGGTAATTTAGGTAAAAAATTTGGGTTAAAAGAGATATTGATAGTTTAATTAAAAATAATATGGGTTTAGACAGTAAGTTCGGTGACACACCTCGACTGAGATCAAGGCATGCTGACCGTCACGTGAAAGTGACATAGCCATGTGCACAGTGCGGAAGCAATAGAGATAAGAAATATAAGAATAATTAAAAACCGAATTACTAGAGTGCACTACTAAACAGGAACTGATAGGAGTTAGTTACAAAAGTAAACACTCCTAATCAGAGCATAATAAGTCTATGTGCAGTCCAGTAGGACAAGTACTAGTTATACAGTACCAGGAATGTCCTACTATTATTTAGATAGGTCAGAACTGCCGACGTCCTCAAGCCACCAACAACTAGCTTACTTAACACATGGAGGAGCGCAAAACAGAAAACGTGAGTGGGCAAAAACAATTGTTTTACAAAACCATTTCATTTATCAACATAACTAACCCCTCGCTGTAAAACATGTATAATTTTTCCCAAAATCAAGATATAAGCATATACATAAATATATATGAAATCATATCAATTCAATTCATACTTCACATAATCATTTTCATATGTATGCCATGCCAAGATATAATAGAGTAAACAATTCAGGTAAGAATAATTTCATAGAAATATAACATGTGAGCCTGAACCCCTATGGTAGTCTGTACGGCTGAATTCATAGCTCAAAAGTCACTTTAGTCGGAGTCACTACTATGCTCTATACGGCAATATACTGCATAAGAGTCGGAACCAACTAAAAGGTCTATACGACAATAATAGGTGTAATACAATCATGCTCAATACTACTCTCACATAATAGTTAGACGATAAATAGCTAGTCACCTACGAGTCGGAACCATAAATAAGGTCTGTACGACAAGACTGTGCACCTAAATTGGATCCAATATGAGCATATGGTGCGGGAGGTGACATAATAAACAGGCATGTGCCATATCTATGGCTAAATCACAATCACCCTAAGTGCAGTTTTATGAGCTCAACATTATTCAATCACATATTGCATCATCGATGATTCACATAACCAAACACAACTTACCTGAGCTTACTTGAGCGTCCACAGCACCGCATTTATATATATAAAGCATCACACATCAATTCATGTATGAATTATAAACTTATATGCATGGCATTTATGGCATACTATTATTTAAACATATATTTATGGGAAAATATCAAGTGTATAATATATACTGAAAACCAAAAGCCCACTCACTGATATGTCGAAGGGTCGTAGCCCCCAAGTCGCCCTTGGATACGCTCGTCCTCGGGATAAGTCTCACCTATATGCAAATTAACTATAAAAACGTTATTTTAAAGCACATAGGCAAAACTAGCTAATAACTTCTCATACATAGCTCAAGACAGAGAATATTCCGTCAGTTAGTTTGGACGGTTACCGTTGGGTTTAACGGATATACCACAGTGACCTACACAACCTCAGGATCATCCCCAAATTTTCAGATAAATTTTTGGACCCCTCACGTGCCGCCACGAGCCGACGAGTGCACGGCAAAACGAGCCTCCACGTGTAGGGAATCCTGACGGATTCCCTAACTGCCGTTAGGAATATTCCGTTAAACCCAATGGTAACCGTCCAAACTAACTGACGGAATATTCTCTGTCTTCTCCGGCGAGTCGCCAGTCGCCGGTTACTTAGCTGGTTTATGGAAAAATATTAAAATCATCCTAACTTTTTCATTTTTGCACCATTTTCCATGAAATTTGAACCATTGGAAAGCTAACAACATGAAGAATCATGTTATACTATTTTTAAGCCTTGAAATCCACTAGAATTTACTTGAGGAAGTTCCATAATCCGGTCAACTTTGAAAACCTTCGATCTCGGCCCTCCGACGTCCAAACTCTTCCAACGAACTACCTCAAGCTTCCTTAGGACCTCCTAAAGCTCCATGTGAGCTTGAAATCTTCTGAAACACAAGGTTTTACATCCACATGAATAGTGCATGAAAAATGAGTTTCGGGATCTTGAGATTTCGAAGGAATCCTTACCTGAAATGGGTACCAACCAACTCGAAATGGCACGAGGAATGCAATGGTGCCTTTAGAATATTCGATCTGTGACTGAGAAGCTCACCTCGAGCTTGGTCCGTACGAGGAAGAAGAGAGAGAGAGTCAGAGTCCGAGAGAGAGTGTACGGGAGAGAAGAGAGAGAAAGGGTATAGGTGTGTGTGTAGTCCCAAAATGCACGCCAATCAAAACTCTTTAATCTTTTAGTTCTAATTGGGTCCAATTAGTTAGGAATAGAACTAATTGACCAAATTTCTTAACCCAAAATACAAACACACAATACCACAAAACTTTCAAGGGTAAAACTGTCATTTTACACTGTCGATAAATAAATAGCACACATCTCCAGGACGGGCTGTGACATTGGGTGTAAAAAGAGGTTACATGAGTTTAATTGAAATTTCTTTTTATTTTATTTTATAATGTTCGCATAAAAACTGACGTTCAAATAAAAAATAAAATAGAGTATAGAAAGTCTCAGTTTTAATAGTCTCACTAACATTTCTCTTTACTTATATTATCACAGGATGTCCCATCTTGCTTTCTGATTACACAAAAAAATTTCCGAAAGCAAACAAGGCAAGACTAAGGTAAAATGAAAAAGCAATTTACTTATAATCAAGACTTTTATTTGCCTTTCGTTATGCCTCTGTTACATAGTTCATATAAAATCTTACCTTCTTTGCAATGGTAATTTATAACCGCTGCGAGGTTAATTGTCTGATGTTAATCCCGGTCCTGCAACTTGTGGAGGAGTTTTCAGGGATTATCATGGTAAATTTCTTGGTGGCTTCTGCCAAGGGATTGGTCATCGCAACTCTTTTTTTCCAGAACGATCAGCAATTATTATTGGTACAGAATTTGCATATCAACGGGGTTGACATTGATTTTGGTTGAGAAGTGACTCTTCTAGCGTTCTTTTTACTCTTCAATCAACTAATTTTGATCCTCCTTAGCATCTTTGTACGCATTGGTCTATTTATTTGGATCGCATTCGGAATATGACTTTCCACGCCTCACATATATTGCAAATGAAATGTTGTTGTGAACAATTTTGCTAACATGGACTTGTCTTCTCCAACTCTAGTATGGCATGATTCCCCTCCTTTGGCGGCTTGTGCTGCTTTGTTTTCAGACTATGCTAGCTTTCCTGGCTACCAGTTCTCAAATTAATTTGCATATCAACATACATGTTTGACTCAATTTCTTTTTTTTTTCTTAGCCTTGTGATGTTGCTTAATTTGTTTTGCAGGTTTAGACTTTTATGATTGGTTTTAGAGGGGTTAGCTATCATGTCTCACCTTTTTTCCTTGTATTTTTATTGTTTGCGTTTCTAGAAAGGGTAAGGTTTATGTCTCCCTTTCTTTTTCATGTACTTTTTATGCATTTTTCTTGTATTATGAGGGGTTAGGTTTATATCTTCCCCTGACTAGGTGTAATTTCTATTTCGTTATCAATAAAATTCCCCTCGTACTGTAATGCCCCGACCCGAAATTTTTTATTTCGGAAAATAATTGTTGTGATAGGCCAAATTAAATTCTTGTTTATTTACTACCATTAATCACAATTTCTTTAATAAATTCTTAATTCCTCACAAATTTTATATCTAAAATTTTTAACAAAAACTTAAAGTCCATCCTTAAACGAAACACCAAATATTTTTCTAGTTCAATTTCTCAACAAAAATTTTGTCTCGATTATTTAATGGTTGCTTCTAACATTCTTGTTAGACTGCCTACGTACCCTACGAAGGGATCGAGCCAATCCTAGTCACATTTCATTTTCAATTCATTTTCGATTATATTCAAATAACTGAAATAACCAACATTAGCTTTAATAAACGAAACACATCAAACAAATACCAAATTCGTATTTAGAATATTAAAATTTGCACAAAATGGTAGCATCGGCCTACTAGCCATGCGCCGCCGCACGTGGTGGTTTTTGTTGAACGGAAACCCAGTTTTCTGACGAACTCAAAAAATTACCAAATTTTATAGGCAAGTAGATTTCAATGAGAGGAACACCTTTCATACCTGGGTTGAAG